GGTGCCGGAGGAAAACCGGTGCCAGCAGCCAGGGGAAAGGAAGGCCTATTGCACGAATCTCTTCGTGCAACAGGCCTCTAGTTTTTAATAAAAGGCATCTGATAAAAATATATTAACTGCTAATTCAGAGAAGAGGTAGAAGAGTAGATATTCTTTTGGTTTTAGGGGGTAAAGCTCCATTTTCCTGACACTCACCTTGGAGGAATCCTGACTCCATTGTCCAACTGGGTGAGGTTATTGGCATACTTGGATACTGGCAACTCATGTTCCCAGGTGTCTGGGTCTTGTTTTCTGTACGGAGATTTTGAGCTAAGCACTGCATCACAAGCAATTGTTACCTATAAGACGAACCCAAATGTAGTATATTAGAACAGTCTGAGAGAATAACAACTTCTATAAAATAAATTTCAAGGTTTATTAGTAAATACAGTTTAATCTAAGAAAAGCAAATGGTACAGTTACCACAAAAGCAAGATCCTACTTTCTTGATTCCAGCACTGGCTCTTGCTGGATTTTGTCTCTGGCCTACAGTTTGCAGTATTGACAATTGCACAAGATAGCGAGGAGCCAAATCCAGTTTGTAAGCCCAAGTGCAGGAGCCAAATTTAAAAATTCCTACCCCTTAGCAAGCAGAGTGAAAAGTATAAGGTGAACAATTTACAAATTAGCCAATGGAATACCTAGGATTTACCCATGGGGTGTGTTTTCCTCTTAACAAATATACACCCAGATATGCAATACCCTCAACTCATCACACAATGGCATGTGGTCAAGGGCACTTGAATGGAATGCAAGCAGCAGCTTCATTACTTAATCAGGTGCAAATGTGACCCTGGCCAGGGACGTGCCTGGTGTCTCTGTGCCAGATTCGTCCAAATTATAGCGGGGGGTGGGGGGGGCAGGGATTCTCTGCTTTCTCCCAACCCAAGTGATCTTGGACATATGCCCATCATCACATTTGCTTAATGATATGTTATTTCTGGCTGTCTTAAAAAACATATTCTGGTGGGAATGTAAAATGGTGCAGCCACTTTGGAAAATAGTGTGGCAGGTCCTCAAACAGTTAAACAGAGTTAGCATAGGACCCAGGAATTCCATTCCTCGGTACATACCCAAGATAAATATGTGTCCACACAAAAACTTAGACACAAATGTTCATAGAAGCGTTATTTACAGTAGCAAAAAGGAGAAACAACCCAAATGTCCATTAATGATAAATGGGTAAATAAAATGTCATACGTGCATACCATAGAATGTTATTTAGCAATAAAATGATACAGGCACAGCATGGATACATCTTGAAAATATATGTTAAGTGAAAAGAAGCCAGCCACAAATAAACATGTATTACATAATTCCATTTATTTGAAATACCCAGAATAGGCAAATCTATAGAGACAGAAAGTAGATTAGTGATTGCCATTGGCTGGGGGGGAGGTGGGGGAGGAGAAGTTGAGAGGTGGGATAATAAAAATATTTTAGAATGAGCCCTGGCCGATGTAGCTCAGTAGTTGGAGCATCGGACTGTGCACTGGATAGTCTGGGATTCGATTTCTGGTCAGGAGCAAGTACCTGGTTTGTGGGTTCATTCCCTACCCCCAGTAGAAGCGTGTGCAGTAGGCAACAGATCGATGCGTCTCTCTCAGATCGATATTTCCCTCTCTCTCTCCCCCTCTCCTCCCTCCCTTCCACTCTTTCTGAAAAGCAATGGGGGGAAAAACTCCAGAATGAGATAGTGGTGATGATGCCCAACTCTGAATATAATAAAAGCCACTGAATTGTTAAAAATAAAATTTTTAAGCAAAAATTTGTATTCTGCATCACTAACCTCCTGCACAGTTAGCTGAACTCCATGCAGAATCTTTTCCCCTGGGTACCACTGATTGATCCCAGAATTGATTAAGAGACAATGGAGGAAGTTCCCTCAGCTGCCATCCCACCCCCATCCAGCCCGTGGGCAATTCCTATCACTCCTACATCCAAAACCTATTTGGAATCTAGCTCTTCTCAATTTGGACACACCCATCTCAGTTCCAATAACATCACAGCTCACCCAATGGCCACACAGCAGCCCCTTAGTCTCCTTCCTGCAGCAGCCAGAGCGATCTGCTGTGAATATCAGATCCTATCCTTCCTCAGCTTAAAACTTTCCGAAGTTACACTGAACACTACCAGCTGACGACACTGGACGAAGCACAGTCAGGAATGAGGAAAAAGCCCCTGCCCTCAAAAAGCTTTTAATCTGTGATAGATCCGGCATCCATACCTATTATTTACAACCTTTTTTAAAAAATAGTCCTATTCATCTCTCACCACAAGTGCTGCTATATAATTACCCTCTCCTCTCAATTATCAAAATTCATCTCTTACCCCCCATCCAGGGCTGGCCCTACAGAACAAGGCTGAGTTCACCCACCAGCCCCTTCCTGATTTTTATGGGGTTTTTAAGCTGTCTCCACACTTCTGGCTACGCATCCTAATCTTTTTAGTCTGGTCTGTCGTAATCCCCTTCGTGGTTCACCATCCTCGTCAAGCCCTTCCCAGTCCTCGTCTGAATTTTATCTACCCCACTAGGTCTTTAAGTGTTCTGGTTTGCAATACAGAATGTTTTTTATTAAGATCTGAATATAACATTTATTTTCTTTGACTATCCTTCCTTGTGACACTCAACAAAACTTCCTTAAATTCTGGGCCACTAAAATACACTAATCTAGTGTTTTCAGAACATCATCTAAAATCACTTAGAGGCCTCTTTTATGGATCATCGCTGAAGGCCAAGATACACCACCCTGTAATTACACTGTGAATTATCTTTCCCTGAATGTGTTATATGGAGTGAAGTGAGAGACCTAGTTACTAGTCCTGACTTCATCCCAGGTCCTCAAGTTCAGTGGGGTCCTAGAACCTACTCAAACCAGCTCACGGACACAATTATTATATATTAAGAAATTCTGTAAGATATTTGTTAAACACTGCCATTATTTAAAACTAGAGGCCCGGTGCATGAAATTCGTGCACGGGGGTGTGGGGGGGGGGATCTCTCAGCCCGGCCTGCATCCTCTCACAATCTGGGACCCTCAGGGGATGTCAGGCCTAAACCGGCAGTCGGACATCCCTCTCGCAATCTGGGATGCTGCATGCACCAGTGACCATACTTTTCATACAGGTGAAAGGCATCTTGCTGTTGTATCGGCAGCTCAATTTTTTGCCCTGATTATAAATAGTACATAACATGATCCTTCTGAGGGTTAGAATAGCCTTGCCAGGTTTTAATTTTTAAATCTAAGAGACTGTTCCCAATATATAGGGTAGGGTCCCTAGGCCTGGCCAGCGATCAGGGCAACTGGTGGGCCCTCGCTGGCACCCGCCTTGGCTGGTGGCCTGGCACTGCCTGCTGGCTGGCCCCGGCCCCCAATCGCTGCCGCCAGTCGCCTTCCTCTGGGTGGGGAGGGAGTGCATTTCATAGCAACCTGGTCACTCCACTGTTCAGTCGATTTGCATATTAGGGTTTTATTATGTAGGATTAAATTATATAAACTTATCATTAAATAAACTATATTTTTTAAAGGTAGCAAATATGCAAAACACTTTGTAATGGTTTTACTATATCTTACTAGTATCCATGTTCTCTTGAGGTTATTTACATCTATGGTATGTGAGTGGTGGAAATTCTTTATAAAAGCTCTTCCAACACCACATTCAGTGACATTTTGTTAGCCTGAAATCAGCCATGGTGGCAGTATTCACACACGGAAACCAGCAACCTCTACAAAGCGGGACTTTTCCCCCAGCGAGGTGGTTGCTAACCATTTACAAGCATACCACTGCTGACTTCCTGATGTCTAAAGTGAGGTACTAGGTTCCGGATTATAAAATCCTTACTGAGGCCCCAATGCTCTGTCTCTGTGGACCTGCATTGTTAGGAGGTGGTTTCAGTTTTTGGTAGAATCTAGTAACTAACTACCTGAAACTGAATTTTTCCACTGCTGAGAAACTCATGAGATGAAGAAAGCGTGATCTGGTTGGGTGGTTTTGAGCTCAATAACTCTGTTATTTAAAAGCATGAAAAGAGAATTTTAAAAGCGTGAAAAGAACATGTAGTATAGATAAATCCTATTAGATACATCCAGGCTTTTCCTTCAAGCTCCCCTTCCAAATAATTCTCCCTTCTTTTTTAATTCTCAAACTATTCCTCAATTCTAAAAGACTCTGTAGTAAAAATTCTGACTTATACTGCTGGGTTTAGATTTCTATGTCACTTCACTTTTAAATAAAAGAATTCATACCTCGAATTATGTTCTGAATATAGGAATAATTTAAAGTATTTAGAGATTTTTTAATTCACTTTCTCACATGAAGACTTTTCCTTCATAGGTGGTGGGAAGAAAAGCACTTATCATTTACCGTGTGCTTCTTCATTCTTTCCTGACGGCACGGTTACATTGGACAAGGACAATGAGAACTCTCCGTATTGCAAAGATATAAGCTGGAGTATATAAAATCAGGTAGTAGGACAAGGCAAGACCATTTGTCCACTCCTGTATTTTATCCTTGGAAACAGCCCCACATCAACACGGGGAATTGGAGAATGCAGAAGTAATTTAACTCGGTATGCCTTCCTAAGGGTGTGCACTTAATACTTAAAAAGGATATGTTACATGTAATCATTAGAGAAAGATTTACAATACCTAAACCCAGAAAACTTTCATTTCTATGGTCTTCTATTTAGGTATAAAGTAAGTCAGGGGCAGAAGAGGTGGGATGGTGGAAACCTGGCCCCTAAGGACATGGGAACCCCAAGCACAAAGTGGCCAGGGCAGGTGAGCAGGTGGCTGTAGACAGGGTCACACAAAGTCCTGAAGACTCCGGGAACTAAAGACCTGGCTTTGGTCCTGGCAGAGTTTAAGGGGGGGCAGGAATGACATGTCTATCCTCCAATTGGCCCTGACCCCTGACCCCACTGCTATCTGTGGCCAGACTCTGAGAATTCAGGGTGTACACAGAGTGGGGAAGAGGAAAAAGCAAGGAAGGAGGAAGTGGCAGAGACAATACAGAAAAAAGAGGAAAGAACAGGAAAATGGTCAGGGTCCCCGAGGGAACTCGGTGCCCACTCCCAGGATTCGAGAATGGACGTGAAAACAGAGCCTGGCTGTCTCCCCCCACCGCACCCTCCCCAGCCTGAAGTTGTTCAGGAAGATGGAAGTTGCTCCACGGAAATGAAGGAAAAGGAAGAGAAAAAAATAAATAAAAAACCTCACCATTAAATCTAAATTCACAGTAATCTCAGTCCTCATGAGGAGCAAAACTGAAAAGTGGGTTCACATAACCACAGAGCTGCTGCAGCCCTGTGTGTGGCGCGTGAATATCTGGTCATTTTTGCCATCCTGTTGCTGCTGTTGCAGCCGTGGGATCGTTGATTTAATCCCAAACAAAATCTTACACAAAAGGCCAACTGGCAGAGGACATAAAGTGATAGTTGTTCCTCTGATCAGAAGACAGGCCCTGCACATCTCAGGATGTGGTTTGAAAAATCTAAGCAACGGACTGTGAGTCACAGGCAGCGAGAAGCCAAGCTCCTGAAACGGAACCCTGCGAGCCCTCTTCGCAGAGAAGTAGCGCTGTGCTAGTGTCTGTGCTCATTCTTCTCCTCTTCTCGCATTCAGCCCGCCTTCCCCACCCCACGTGCACGCACACGGCACACGCACACACACCTGACACAGAGAGCCACGCGCATCTAGCTAGCAGCCGTGCACACTCACTGACCAGGGCAGGTAACTCCTCAATATTTGGTAGTGCTATTTCATAGTGGTCTGGGAATATAACAAGTTTGGCTTCATCTTCATATTCATAATCGTCGCTATTTAAATCGTCATCAGTATCTAGATCTGAGGAGAAAACAAAAACAAAGAACAAGACATGAAGAAAGAACATCCCACACGAAGGCAGCACTCGCTGGGGAAGCCAGACAGCCACAGGGACCAGACCGAGGGCAGCGCACTCACACTCCCTCCTCTGACCGACCATCCACCGGCCCAAACCCGGGGGTGAAAGGCCCTGCCATCTGCCTCAGTTACGAATACTTACTGATTAGTGACAGGTGTACAAAGAAGACTGAGTCACATCAGACAGCTTCACAGTTAAACATATGTACCAAATGCTCAATTCTTAAACATGGGTAAAGGAATAGACTGTTCATTATGATTTGTTGGGTACCTGGTTCCTGATTTCACAAGAATGGGTTGGAATGTTTGTCCCAACACTGTAATTTGGAAGAAAGTACATGGGTTTCAGAGTAGATAAACCGAGGTTCAGTTCTGGCTTCAAAAATGAATGTTACTTTTGGGCAAATCACAAACTCTCTAAGCCTTAGTTCCCTCATTTGTAGAATGGAGATAATAACACTTATCTCACACATTTGATATGGGGAATAAATAAAAAACTGTAGACAAGCAACCTGGCACAGACCTGGGGGTCAATAATAGCAGCTATTAGTGAAAAAATAAAATCTCAATTTCCCTTTTTCTCTCTCACTCCTCCCCGCCTCTGAGAGCTGGTGGGATATTGGATAGTACCCCAGAGGGGAAACTCCATAATGTAAATTGGTCCTCGGGCTGTGGGGAATTTTCAGTAAGAAAGATGAGGTCCTCTAGGCTACTGTCTATCAAGTCACCGCCTCTTTGCTTGGCTAATCCCTGGTAAAGGTTAGGAGAAGGCTCAGGAAATGTCTTGTCACAATATTTACATGGACATTTCAGCCTTGTGTTCACATGATGCCAGCACCCCGATCATGTTTGTATATTTAGGTGTTTGGAACTATGGTGACAAAGAGCTACTGAGCCACATATAGATAAACCGAGGTTCAGTTCTGGCTTCAAAAATTAATGTTACTTTGGGGCAAATCACAAACTCTCTAAGCCTTAGTTCCCTCATTTGTAGAATGGAGTTAATAACACTTATCTCACGCACTTGATATGGGGAATAAATAAGAACTGTAGACAAGCAACCTGGCACAGACCTGGTGGTCAATAATAGCAGCTATTAGTGAAAAAATAAAATCTCAATTTCCCTCTTTCTCTCTCACTCTCTCTCACTCCTCCCCGCCTCTGAGAGCTGGTGGGATATTGGATAGTACCCCAGAGGGGAAACTCCATAATGTAAATTGGTCCTAGGGCTGTGGAGAATTTTCAGTAAGAAAGATGAGGTCCTCTAGGCTACTGTCTATCAAGTCATCGCCTCTTTGCTTGGCTAATCCCTGGTAAAGGTTAGGAGAAGGCTCAGGAAATGTCTTGTCACAATATTTACATGGACATTTCAGCCTTGTGTTCACATGATGCCAGCACCCCGATCATGTTTGTATATTTAGGTGTTTGGAACTATGGTGACAAAGAGCTACTGAGCCACATTTCACTCACACACACACAAAGCCACACATAAACAGGTACACAAACATGGGCTCTGTCGACAGGAGAAAGTTGTTGTACTAGATAAAGCAGCCAGCTGAAAACCAAAGGATCTAGATTCTGTTACTACCCAACTGTTTGCCTCCAACCAAAAGTCTACTATCTTTCTGTGTACAGCTCTGCTCTTGATTCCCAAAGGAAGGGCAGTTTTAAGTAGAAAATGAGATACAGCAAAAACACAGTCTAAGTGTGTTAATGAAGGATCCTGAATGACAAGACTCAGAAATGCCAAAGGAGAGAAACAAAAACATTGTTAGATAACCATAAAAGGTTTATTTCAGAAAAAGCTGCATTAAAGAAGATTCCAGCCCGGCCAGTGTGGCTCAGTGGTTGAGTGTTGACCTATGAACCAGGAGATCACAGCTCGGTTCCAGTCAGGGGCAGATGCCTGGGTTGCAGGCTCAATCCCCACTGGGGAGTGTGCAGGAGGTGGCCGATCAATGACTTCCTCTCATCATTGATGCTTCTATCGCTCTTTCCCTCTCCCTTCCTTTCTAAAATCAATACAAATATTTTTTAAAAGATTCTAAGAGTTTAAGAAGTGACTAAAGGCATTTATTTCAAGGAAATGACTCAAAGATAGACATTCAGTGTTATAAAAATTTGAATGCCCCAATATCTATAATAAAAAAAATGAAAACTTAAACATTCAATGAAGACAGTGTTCAACCCAACAGACTATTATTAAAATATTTATTTAGAATAGGTAGAAACATGAAAATGTCTATGCTATGTGAACACTAAAAATATAAAATCATTTTCACTGTAAAAACAACTTTTTTTTTTTTAATTTATTTTATTGATTTTTTTACAGAGAGGAAAAGAGAGGGATAGAGAGTTAGAAATATAAAAATTAATGCCCCAATATATATAATAAAAAAATGAAAACTTAAACATTCAATGAAGACAGTGTTCAACCCAACAGACTATTATTAAAATATTTATTTAGAATAGGTAGAAACATGAAAATGTCTATGCTATGTGAACACTAAAAATATAAAATCATTTTCACTGTAAAAACAACTTTGTAGAAGTTATGCTCCTAGATAAGAATTGGAAGGAAATCTAGACAAATGAAAACAGTGAGTGGGTGAACTTTTCTCTATCTTTAAACTTTCTTTTCTTATATTATTTATAACAATTTTAAGTAACCAAAGTACAAATCTTTTGTTTTTATGTATAGAGTCTGCTTATATAACACTAGAGACCCGGTGCACAAAATTCGTGCACAGGTAGGGTCTCTAGGACTGGCTGGCGATCAGGGCCAATCGGGGCCTTCCAACTGCTGGCCAGGGCCTCCCTTCCTTCCCCGGCTGCTGGCTGCCAGCTGGGGCCCATTCCGCATTACCCCCTGGTGGTCAGCGCATGTCATAGTGAGCAATTGAACTCCTGGTCTCCTGGTCAAACTCCTGAGGGGACTCTTTGCATATTAGCCTATTATACATATAGATATTATGTAGGTGTCTCTTTTCCATAGAAAACATACTCATTTAATGCTAATTCAAATCTTACCTGACCAAACACAATGATAAACTAAGTCCAAGAAAATGCCACCCTGGCATTTACTAGCTATGTAACGCTGGGCAAGATCTTTCAAGTTCATTTTCCTTGGGAGTAAGCTATGGATTGTGTACTCCACACAACTGTTGAGAGGATTAAACAAGGTAAGGTTTTAAGGCACCTCGTACAGGACCTGGCAGGGCTTCTCAGCTCCACAGATAGTAGCTGCCATCACCTCCATCATCACCATCACCACCTTCTCTACACTCCTGACAACATGTTCAAAAGTGCCTTCCCTTCCTTTTGGCTGCCCCAGCTCCAAAGCAATCCTGGAATAAGTTTCAGGAAGACCACAATATCATGTGGGGTCTGCCATGTGATCTGACCGTGGAGAAGGGACACCTTCCGTGTCCCCAGCCCCTGCACACACCACACATCACACTCTCAGTAACTGTGTGTGAGAGGAGACTTTAAGAAGTTAAAGCTCCACCAGGCTAAGGACAACAGCAAAGCAGGAGCATCAGAAGGGTTGCTGTGGTTTGGGGGTTTTTTCATTGGTAACTGACGTGTATTTTAAAAGAAGCAAGGCTGCTGTCATAAAAAACAAACAAACAAAGCAGAACTTTGTTGGGCTTCTTAACACTTTCATTTTTAATTCAACGGAATGGAAGGGGACCATGATCTTTCCCAAACATCTTAATCCAAATTAGAGAAAGTCAACAGAAGGAACCTACACTCTGATTTTAAGGGACAAACCTAAGGTTTCTCCTGAATATAGATGACCCCACAATCCTAAGTATAAATCTATAATTTCCAAATTTCTCTAATTAGGGTCTCACCACCCCAAAAATATCCAGTTGAGAAACCTACAGAGTAAGCATGCCCTAAGGACCTGTAGGACTGGGACCCCCAACTTCTCCCATCAGACACTTCCCATCGTGACTAATAACTGGTAATACCTGGATGGGCTCTTTTCCTAAGTTTTAAAAAACCTTTTGTGCCCTAGCCAGTCTGGCTCAGTGGACAGAGCATAGGCCTGTGGACTGAAGGGTCCCAGGTTCAATTCCGGTCAAGGGCACATACCTCAGTTGCAGGCTTGATTCCTGGCCAGGAGGCAACCGATGAATGTGTCTCTCTCACATCAATGTTTCCCTCTTTCTCTGTCTCTCCCCCTTCCTTCCACTCTCTCTAAAAAATCAATGGAAAAATATCCTTGGGTGAAGATTAACAACAACATACATACATACATACATACATACATGCACAAATCTTTAAAAAAAAAAAAAATACCACTTCCCCAGCTCTACTTCATCGATCCTCCCAGATCCCTGGGAGAAGTGGCTGAGACCACACCCATTTCCAGGAAGTAACTTGCATAAAGTTCCAAGCAGCATAGTGAGGAATGGATCCCTAAGGAAAACCAGGGCTCTGATCCCAGCTCAGTGTCTTCTTGGCCTGACCACAATGCATGTGCTGGAGGTGGGCAGTCTGGCTGCTCCAATGCTGTGAAATCAGACCAGCCATTACCCTCAAAAGAAGGGGAAGTTTTGGGAAAGTTCTTCAGTGCAGACCCTGTTCTGTGACCGGCTTCGGAAGGAAAGGCAACATGGAATCCACTAGAACCTTCTGGTCATGATAGGCACAGGGGAGTTTTCGGAACAGGCCCATTCCTGGACCTTTCCCCAAATGTTCTCTTTTACAACCTGTTTCTCATCAAGTATGAGTGCCAGGACTAAAGCCAAAAAAATGGACGTTACGCTCTCTGAGGTTGAGGTAGCTCTTTGAAGTCCCAGCCTCAGACACGAAGACCCTAACTCACTCACTCTGATTTATGAATGTTGGGGGGAGGAGTGCTTAATACAAATATGGATATTTAACAGTATTTTTATGACATGCCACATATATGGTATTTTTTATGAAATGCATTAGCAGTTATTCATATGTCTATACACATTTGTAGCTTTGTTATAAAAATTATATAAGATTAGACCAGAATCACATCCCAAGTCCTGGGATATTTCTTTGAAGGTCCCAGACTCCTTTACATCTGCTCTTCCCTTCTTCTATCTCATGGAACAATATATTTTATATAAGTTTATTGCCAAAATTCACAATCTATCATATTGTGGTAAGTTATCTTTCCATTATAGTGTCCCTTCCTAGCCTGAAACATTAACGCAGAGCTACCTGCACTTTCTCAGTTCACAGCATCCCAGCAATTTTCACACAGCAGCAGGAAGCAAAAAAAAAAAAAAAAAAAAAAGCCTAATAGTTCTGTTTATTTAGTAGTTACATCCAAACAACTTAATTAAGTATTTATGTTCTAACAACTTATTGAAAAAATGATACACATATATTGAAAGAAAAAATGTTCTATTTCATTCTTAAATAACACAATTCCTTCTTACAGGATGAATACACCTTATTGGGCACTGCACAACTTCTCTTTGTATCAGACTGGATGCTGCCTCCATTATTCCCAATCCACATTTATTTGCACATGGTATTTGCCTTTTACCATAGAAACCACCAAAAAACCAGCTTCACAAAGAGATGAAGTCATTGAAAGGAATATTGGATACTCCAATAGTGAAACTACAAGCTAATGGTCCATGCAGTGTCCAAGCATCACTGTGTTCCCTTGAAGAGTTAAAACATCCTGAGGTGCACCTGTGAGTCTGCCGCAGCACCCCAGGGTGCCTCAGAGCACAGTTTGGGAACCAAAAGTGTTAATGGCTCACTACTGCCTATAGGAAAAAGTCTAAAAGCACGGTATATATATAGACTATCACTGGAAGAATATACGATATATAAAGACATACAGACAGAAAATACTATTTGTCTCTGGAGAGACTAACCAGGGAGCTGGGAGACACAGAAGGGAAAGAAACTTACTCTTCATTATACAGCCACTTATAACTTTCAATTTTAAGCTTTGTCCATGTGTTATACATTCAAAATATTTTTTAATCCTAAATGCAAAAAGCATAAAATGAAAGTGATTCAAACGTTACCCATAGTTTTCATTATTGGTTAAAAAAATATATACCAGCCAAAACTAGAGCTGAGGGAAGAATCCTTAACTGTGATTTCACTGATGAGCACCAATGTAATCGGAAGAGTAACTTCACTGTTGAGGGCAGGATGGTGCTCAGGAGACTTGGGGGTGAGCCATTCAGCACCAGCTAATGGCCTCAGTTTCCCTTGTAAAATCAATACTGAAGGTCATAACTGAATGATTCAATGGTTTCAATGTGACTGTTGAACCAAAGGAAGAGGAATTAGTCACAAATCAAGTGGATGTGGATAAAAGCCTCCCTCCAGGAGAAAGCATTAGTCATCCGCCTCTGTTCATAAAGTAGAAGGGCATCATCCCTCCATTTCAACCGCAGCCAAAAAGCACTTTCTGTTCAAAGAAACAAGAGACTGCAAGAGTTCTGGTTCTCTTCCCTCCATGAAGAGACAACCCCAATGTCCCTTTTAGGGAAGGAATCTGTGGCAGAGCTGCTAGCTGCCCCCTGGTATCCATGCTCCCCTTCTTGCGTAGTAACAGGATTTACTTCATGAAGACAGTTAACAGACTTTACTTTCCAGGCTCCTGTGCAGCACCTGGTGTGGCCATGTGTCCAAGTTCTGACCAGAGAGGTGAAAACTGAAGTGCTGCTGAGGATGTGAGAAGGCTGACAAAAAGAAGCGACTCCACTGGGAGATTAGACTTTTATCCTTCCCCCTTCATCTTCCCTGCTTTCCAGAATGGCGGTGTGATGACTGGAGTTCTAGCAGCCATTCTGCACCATGAAGTTACCATGAGGTTGGAAATCACAGGCCAGGATGGAGGGTGAAGCAGAAACATGGGAAGAGTCTAGATCAGCCGTGGGCAAACTACGGCCCGCGGGCCGGATCCGGCCCATTTGAAATGAAATATTAGTTCACACAAACACTCCATCCATGCTTTTGTTCCGGCCCTCCGGTCCAGTTTAAGAACCCATTGTGGCCCTCGAGTCAAAAAGTTTGCCCACCCCTGGTCTAGATTCTAATAGAACATGAGGCTGTCACATCATTATGGACACATCTTGTGTCTCCTGCGATATGGACTGTTGAGTCCATATCAAGGCAGCTTGTAGACAGGTCCCACCACAATGAGCTGGTGGGGGAGTGCTCCCAGGAAGCCATGAGAGGGGTTCACACCGAATGAAACACATAACCTCAGTGCTTGCCTTTGGATTAATCTTTTGAAACAGTTACTTGACATCATCTACCACCAAAATGATCACTAAAGAAATCAAACCCCAAAGTCTTTTTGAATAAAAGAAACAAAGTTAAAGGACAAGATAGTGAATCAAAGCAGGAAGAAACTCAGCTCTATGACTGTTTCCAAAGGTTTTGCTTTTCAAATAATGAATATGTCTTTGTATTACAACAGTAACATACATTTGTTACGGAAAATATTAAAAAGAAATAAGCAAAAAGAAGAACATAAAAATCACACCACCAGAAAAGAGCTACTTTGAGCAATTTGGAGTATATTCTGCCAGACTCTTCCACACTTGCAGTCATATATGCATACATGTGTGTGTATAAACACATATATACACACACATTTACCTACATATATGTACACACATATATAGATATGCATGCACATACACAGGCATATTTATATATACAAGATGGGGCAAAAGTAGGTTTACAGTTGTGAGTACATGAAACACAGAGTTTATTCTTGTATTATTATTTATTAATTGCGCAGTCATATATGCATACATGTGTGTGTATAAACATACATATATACACACATATTTACCTACATATATGTACACACATATATAAATATGCATGCACATATACAGGCATATTTATATATACAAGATGGGGCAAAAGTAGGTTTACAGTTGTGAGTACATGAAACACAAAGTTTATTCTTGTATTATTATTTATTAATTATTGTATTATTTCCAAGACAAACAACTATATACAGGTATATGTGTGTATACACTTTTTTTTCCACCAAAATGAAATTGCAGTATGCAAACAATTTTGAAATGTCTTTCAAATACTAATCCCAGGCATTTAGGGACTTAAACTTGCTTCATCAAGCATTATCAAACCACTTTTTCTCCTGGACAACCATATCAGAAGCTTAGTATGACATACGATCATGATAACATGATATTAGAAACCATTACTCATTTGCATCAGCAAAGCTAGCTCTTCTGAAGGAGGGAGAGATCAAATCACTGTTAGTCAAACACCACAGTAATCACTGTGCAGGCAAGATCCACTGATGGATGATAACATTAGCGGGCAAAACCTTGAGGAGAAACGAGTTATTAGCATAGTCTCCAACTATCACTCCCAGCACATTTATTAATTACACTGTAGCTTTACAGTGGAGAAGCCTGCCGGACACCCCTCAACAAGTGATCAGATTCACATCATCTGTCTGAAAACACAGCACCCCGTACCCCTGATGTCACGTAGAGGAGGGCACATCACTCTGTGGTACTCTTGCCAAAAACGCATAACCTCAGACTTACCATAAGGACACATCAAAAAACCCAATCTGAGGTCCCTTCTACAAAATAACTGGCCCCTCCTCTTCACACATGTCACGACTATTAAAGATGAAAAGAGAGTGAGGAACCATGACAGATTTGAAAGGGTTAAGGAAACATGGGGTTCTGGAACATAAAAGGACACCAGTGGAAAAAATGGTGAAACCCAAACAAACTCTGTAGTTTGGCTAATATTAAAATAAGAAAACCATGAAAACTGTCTCTTCTTTAAAAGCAGGGGGGGAGGGGGGGGCGGGGAGACCAAAGGCAGAATTGCAGTTACCCTCCGGCCACTGTAAGCATCACTGTTTCAAACACTAACCCGGCTGGAATGCTGACATGCTTCACCACCAGGATGACCCAGCTCATCTCAAGTTAAACTGGTTCTACTCATCCTTACCATACAGATCAACAAACAACCTATTACTCCAAATGAAGCACACACATGTGTGTACACACACACACACACACACACACACACACACACACACACAGAGTTATCTGGGCACGCTACTGATAACTATGCACATTACCTAAAAAAATCTTGGAATTCCTCCTTTTGGGTAAAGCTCCACCAGATGCCCCTTTTACTTTCTGAAAAGAAAAAAAAAAGAAATTGTTAAAATGCAGCCCATGGAAAAGACTAGTGGGGGCGGGGTGGGTTGGGGGGAAGAGCACATCTCAAAGGTTCCCAGATTGTATAAAAGTCCAGAGGAAATATTGCACTTGGATTAGAGAATCCCGGATAAACAGGAACTTGACCCAGGTCAATGGAGGTAAGTGAAGGGCAACGCTATTGTTCCACCTGCCTATTTTCACCGAGCTACACAGAAAGCGCTTCTGGAAAGGGAAGTGGAACCAGGCATCAAAGTGAAGTAGATAATCCAGCTTCAAATCGGCACATTCTCCCAAGAGGCTGGGGCCACGCCCAGCGCTGGAGGGACTCTGGAAGGACCGCGCCTCCCGGAGGGAGGCTCTTGCTCCCCTCCTTCCTACCAGGTCCCCAGCGGTTGGGCCTGGGCCTGCCAACAATTATTGTTGAAAGACTTAATAAATATTAATCTATAGTCACTGATATTTGGTCCTATCACATCAATCTAACCTCCTTAGACATTTCTGGAGCACTGCGGCTGGCTATGTCGTGCATTTTCTACCTATCATGGCAGCAATGAAAAATAAACACCCATCAAGTGTTCATGCAAAAGAGGTCATGCATTACCCTCTGACACTCACACAAAATATTTTACTCTCAAATGGGATTATAAAAATGTTTGTTTCCAATGGCCAAAGCAACATCTCCACATTGTAAGTTCTTTCAGAGAATAGAAGAGAGCACGTTTCCAACACAGGGCGGGGTGCGGTCACGTGTCATGGCAGCATCAAGGCCTTGCTGCTTCTTCAGTTTGTGCTCTTCTTAGTGCTAGGTCTCCTCTCCCACATTTTTTTCATCTGGCATTGAAGGCTGACTCATCTTTGTGTTTCTCACATTAGTTTTTACAGCTTGTAGTATGAGTTTCTAGTTCACGTCTTAGGAATGTGAAAATTGTTGAACGCTTTAGCTCAGACACCTGTCTTCCCAAATACTAATGCCAAACTCATGTCCCTCTCTTGGATTCCCTCTCCTCCATGGTCTCGGAGCCTCTGGTCCTCTGCCCTCCACTTACCTGCCTCAAAAGGAAGAAAAGTAAACCTATATTGAAGGCACATTTAACAGTCCTGGAGGTCACTGAAATCTCTCTGTAAGCTCATGACATCCTTCCTTCAAACTTACCGCCTTCAATAATATATCATAAGGAGGAAAGGATCGTTCTTCTGGAGGTGGAAGGTGTGGCCAGGGATGGTCAGGTAAGAAGAGCAGCAGGCCTGTTGTATAGCAGCTGCTCAGCAAGTATTTGTTGGATGGATGATGGATGGGTGGATAGATGGATGATGAACAGATAGATAGATATGCTGACCACAGGAATGCAACAGGTAAAAGAGGAGTGGGGGTAGAAGCAGAGCATCCCAGATTTAAAAATATATATACATACAAAGGCATGAAATCAATGTGTCCCAAGAAGGAGACGGGGTAGAAGTAGAGCATCCCAGATTTTAAAAAAAAAAATACAAAGGCATGAAATCAATGTGTCCCAAGAAGGAGAAGTGGTTTGCTATGCCTAGAGCACAAAGCTGGGGGAGTAAGAGTGAGGGTTAGAAAGGCCACATGGACACATGGAGGGCCTTGGAATCATGTGCAAAAGAGTTTGGGCTTCATCCTGCAACAGGGGAGAGAATTCAGCGATTTCAGCCACAGATGCACAGATCATTCTGGGTGCAGCGTGCAGACTGGGTGGGTTGAAGGCGGCAAGTGTGAAGGCAGGAGACTGGTCAGGAAGCCGCAGCACCAGTCCCTCAGGGAGTGGTGAGCACTCAGACAAGAAGAACAGGGGTACAGAGGACAGGACGGACTTCAGAGCTATTTGGGAGCCCAGATAACAAGACTTGGTGACCAACCAGTCATGGACTGAAAGCAGGATCCAAATGATGTCTAGGTCCCCAGCATTCAAGACCAAGGACAACTCTAAGAAAGAGGATAGATAACTCATTCAGTCCGGAGATGTTCTGAGTAGAAAAAGCCAGGTCAGAGTCGGGTGGCCTGATCTGGAGGCATCAGCTCAGAGACGGTGGTTAGACACAGATGTGCAAGACAGTGAGGAGGAGAAGCAGCTTTTGGAGAAAGAAGACAGGAGGGTCAAGCAGAATCCTAGGAAATCCCGATGACTAAGGGGCAAATGAAGAAAGCGATGCTAGTGGAAGAGTGAGGCAGGGCAATCTGAAAGGCAGGAGGACAGCCAGGGAAGAATGGTGCCCAAGAAAGCAAGGAGGAGCAGCTGCAAAAAAAAAAACAACAAGTCCAAATACTCAAAACGTCACATAAAATCAGGGCTAAAATGTGTCCACCAAGAGTGACACCGAAGAGGTCACTGACAACATTGCACTCGTAATGGGTTAACAGGAGATCAGATTGCAACGTTGAACTTAGAGGGAGGTGCAGTAGAGATGATGAGCATAGAACAGTTTTTAAAGAAGCTTTAATTAAAGGATGGGATGACAAGGAGGACACATTAGAGGAACAATTTTGTGGTGTGTTCTATTTTTTTTTAATCATCACCAGAGATATGTTTTTATTATTTTTTCTGATTATTTTAGAGTGAGAGGAAGGGAAGGAGAGAGAGAAACATCAATCAGTTACCTCCTATACGAGCCCCCACCAGGGAATGAATCCGAAACAGGCGTGTACCCTAATCAGGAATTGAACCCGCAGCCTTCTGGTGTATGGGACCACACTCCAACCACCTGAGCCACCTGGCTAAGGTGTGGTGTGTTCTTTTTTAAGGTGAGAGAATAAACAGCCAGAAGAGGGAGTGGTTGGGGGTGTCAGAAGGAGTGGAGTGAATGAAGGAGCAGTTTCCCAGGTTGGAGGAAAGAGGACCAGGAGGAGAGAAAGAACACAGCTTTCTGCTGAGATGGAGAGACTGGATGCAGATGAGTTCCCAGGTGACAAGAAAGGCGCTTGAGGAGTCCCTGTCCACGGGGTCCCTGTTTTCTCAGTAAAGTACAAGCCAAATCCTTTTCCGAGAAACAGGAGGGAGGAAAGCATCTGGAGTCTGGAGTGGGAGAGGGTACAGACTAGGTTTGCTGGGCAGTGATGGGCCCAGCAGAGGGGGAGGCCAGGAACAGGACAGGGTCCAGACCCCATGCAGTGCGGCCTCCCAGCGGTGTGTGCATGAAAGCAGAGGATGATGCCAAGGCCACGACTGGTAGGAGTTCTGGAGGACAGTTAGGGAGGCCAGACACAGGGGTGAGGGTCAGTGGAGGGTATCAGGGATAAGAGAATGTTTAAAGCCAGGGATCCTGATACACAGGCTCGCCAAGCAGGGAAGGGGCTGCCTGGGCACATCACAGGCCTGGAGCTGCCAGTGGGAGAACAGCAGATCCACATCAGAATAAATGAGTAGAAGGGCTAAGCCGAGAGAGGGTCGTGGTCAGAGTAAACTTTTTAACCTAACATTTCGGAGGCAGAGCTAACTGTATGAGATTCCAGCATCCTGCAATCTTGCCACTGCCTCTGCGGCTGTGAGCAAGTTACCTCAAGTCTCTGGGCCTGTTTCATTTACCCTCCCACCCC